TAATTTAAAGAGTTAGACCGACCGTAGCTGTCATCGAATGATCCCATGCAGGCACCCAACCGAGACACCATGGCAAACGGATAGTGTAAATACAGTGACCCAATATATATAAAATGATGCAATAATATTGGGCATATTGCCTGCATTACTTTCAAACAAGAAATCTTTCGCTGTCTTTCCTTCAAGCGGTAGAACGAAGCCAATCGTTCCTAACAACCCAACAAAAAACTTTCTTCCTACATATTAGCACCCTTAGGAGTTGGCTCACTGGGAAAACGGTTCCGTCAATTTGCTTACAGGTTTGGAATTATTATTTCTGCTCGGATTATTTATACCAAATCTGAAAATAAGTTTGCTCAGTCTATGTACAACATAAACTACGGCAGGCCTGCCTCAACAAATTTCTTGAAATATCTTTCATATCGGCGTAACGTGACAGAAATAACGATCACTCTTGTGAGCAATGGACATAAAGACTAATTTGAGGATCTGGCTCGGGCGACAAAATGGCTTATGATGATACACGGTCCTGATAATATATTTTGAACATTGTCATGGTCGCGAAGACAGTGTTCAGGATGCAGCAAGATCGCAAAATTTCAATACCAAGATGCCTTGAGCTTCAAAGTAAGTAGAATATTAATGCGGAATTACATAAATCATATCTATGCGTACCACTGAATCACAGAAAACACTTGAATGTAATGCATCAGAGTTGATATTTTGATACTTCGAAATCGTAACAAGAAATGACAGTCGATCTCTCAAGCTTCTCCCTGCACTATGGACGAGTGTTTGCTTTGCAGTCACCAAGTAATGCCAAGATTCTGGACAATAGTAAAAATCTTGGCGCTTCCTGTAAAGCAAATCACAGAATGCAAATTGACTCGCGGTCCGATCAATGATTCCAAGGGAGAGTTGTGTTTGAGTCTCGACGTATTTCTTGTGTTAGCTAACATTGATGCAGTAGACAATCTATGATTATGGACCGCAATTGATAAAGTCAGGCTGAGAAAGCGAAATATTTTTTAAAAAGTTTTTTTTTTAGATTTATCCTTGGGGCGAGTGAGGAATCTGTGAAAGTCTACGGATTTAGAAACTAACATTTAATTATATTCTCATGAATAAAACATAAAATAAAAAATAACAAAACATAAATAAATAATAAAATACTACAGTAATTTTTCCTCCACATCATGCACATGTTTTTAAGAACAAAAATAGGCTAATTTAGGTCTTAGTGTCTCTGCAATTTGCTTGTTCAGATCGCTGCCGTGGTTGCAGGCGAGAGTGGCTGCGGGATGCAATTTCGATGGTAATGCTCAACGGAAGTAGCAAATATATTGCCTTTCCTACAGCTCGTGTCACCTCTTCGTACGAATAACATTACCGAGTAGAAGTTCCAGTGAAGGCCAAGCATTTCCCTCTCTGAGCGGATGAAAACAAGATTCTGATGAACGGCCTAACGTTAATTAGGAACGAAGTAGGGGGGAAATAACATTCTATTCTGAGTGGGAAAATGAATAAATGCGTAGTTTTTCATGTTTTTCTTATAAAGTTTAGCATTACTGGAATTAAACAGATTCACTTAAGTTTATCGTCAATCTGAAATTTAGATAATCAATGAATCAGTTTAAATACGGTACGAAAATTTTCATTCAAATTAAAAAGTGTTATATACGAATTTTGAAATTTTCTTACCGTCGTCCTGTCAAGCAATATCAAATACAGCGGTTTCCCAAATTCCCATGTGTTTTTAGCGGTTTACAAGTTCTTAAAATCATTTATTGAATTCCGATATTGTTTATGGCTAGGGCTTCGTAATATTCGAGTTTGGGGCATTCGGCCGGCATGGATCATTTTCCGATATAGCGTTTCTTCAGGATCACGAAAAACTCATGTGGTTTATGAGCAAAGCTAGACATTTTAACACAGATAGTCTTCTGTGGTTAGTCTGGGTGGCGTAAGTATAGAGGCAGACCAAATTCTCATGCAAGTGAACAAGGTTTAAAACCGTTTTGGAGAACTTATAGAGGGATACAGACGGGTTAGGTTAGTGTCAGTGGTCCTGTTTTGACGCATTTGGTGAGCGAAGTTACTTGTGATATTCAACGTGAATAGCGACGCCTTACCTCATAATTACATAAAACTGATGGTACCTACAGTCTCTTGGTACTTGCGGCATTAGGTGAACATGCAGGGCTAAGCTACAAATGTGAAAGTTTACTTGTGCAGAAAAATTTGTAATACAATTCACCGACATAGTATGGCACGTTAAATTTTACATATTTTTTTGTATCGCCTATGGACTTAAAATAGAATAGCATTCGATGGCACGAAAAAAATATATGTGGTTGCAACCAATTGTCTTAGAAATGTTCAGTAGCTGCAGGCAGGAAAATTATCATGATCAACTTCATTGTCAGCACTCTGTACTTTTGAGCGCAAAAACTGTAGGTTTCTTACCAAAATTTGTATTTCTTCAGTTGGGACAAGGAAGGCTTTACAATGAAACAATACAAATAGATAATAAATTACCTATTACTGCTATTGGGAATGGTGAGGTCACGCCACACCGACCCCCTAATTTACACTAAGTCGCCCCTTCATCCATCTTCATTTTATAAAGTGTTCCTTTTTCGGAAACTGTTTTAATTTATCAGCGCTTTTATCTCCCGTATGAATTATTACTTCGTAAAAAAAGAAGTCTGATTTTCGCCTGCCACGATTTATCGGCGTCTGACACGGCGCAGGAACAATTTATTTCGCGCGAGCCGTGCAACTTTTAGAATTCTTTAGCTAGGAACTTTCGCTTCTGATTTACCGCTAAATGCACGGCCATTGTTCTTCTCTGACGAATCCCTCACACAGGAAGCTCTTCTTTGGTCCCGTGGGTTTTAATGCCACCACAGAAAGCTCTTAGTGGCTCAACGCTGCATACAATTGGAATGGCTTACGAGTCTTGGAGTTCTCAGGTCCCGACCTCCTCATCGAAGAACGCTTACCTTGAATAACCATTTAAACGGATGGCGGCCGCAAGCGAGATCTTTTGTATCTTGGCTCTTCCCCAGTTAAGAAGTGGAAATTTAGTTCATGAAAATAGAATTCTTCGAATACTAACTTAAATTAATAAAAACACCAGTGAATTATTCGCAGGTTCATAATAATTGTAGCGATAGCCTAATATGGAAAAGATCAATGGTCTTCAATGTTAAGAAAAGATGTTTTCATTGCAATTGATGTTGAGCAAACAGCGTTTCTTCACCGTTATTGAGCTACAACAAATTGATGGGTTGGATTCATTGATGCATCATCGTTAATGACGTTATTGTTCACCAATTTCTAGCGCAACCGAGGAAAATAAAATTTCTGCAACAAATATATGATTCACTTACATTATAAAAATTATGCAACGATTGAACCTCATCCATGCAAACAAAAACAGGGCTAAGAGTTTATCACTTAACACGCGTATCGCAGATACAAGAGATACTGCACCTGCACTCACGTAATCCTATGTACTGTACTGCACCTGCACTCACGTAATCCTATGTACTGTACTGCACCTGCACTCACGTAATCCTTATATGTACTGTACTGCACCTGCACTCACGTAATCCTTATATGTACTGTACTGCACCTGCACTCACGTAATCCAATGTACTGTACTGCACCTGCACTCACGGGTCATCCAATGTGTTGGCGCTGATCAAGCTCTTAACGTAATAAATCCTCTGATAAAGGGTAAGTAATCAGAGTATAAAGCAAAGTGAATGTTTTTTTTTTTACATTTTGAAAAGCTCATATGTAAAGGCAGGATAACAGCAAATTTTGTTGTCGACTTTCCTCGAAAGTTCGTTCAGCGTAGACATAATAATACAGGAATCCTTTATATCATCGCGCATTTCACGCACTATAAAACCTTTGTACTAAACTGTAAGTTTTATAATATATATCCTACATATTATCATTATACAGAGGTATTGGGATCGATGGATTAATTAGTCACACCTGAGAGTAGACGTAGTGCAGCTTCCATTGTGAAGTAAACTTTGGTGACGAAAATTATGGAATAAAACCTTAAACCTCCGAATAATCTAACTTAATTTTTATGCGTCATTGCCGTCGATGAACGCACTTCTAGCAATACTAAACGTGATTCAGTAAACAAAAAACTTCATCTTTTTCGCTGGAACTTCAAGGAAATACAATAAATTTTATCAGTGAGATTATTCAAAGAGGTAATAACGAATCAATTATATACCTCACCCCTCATCATGCTGAATTTTAATCACAAATTGCCAGGGTAGAGGATAAAACCGTACAGCTCGACACATGGCAAGAAGTTAGGTAAAATCTAAAATTCTATTAAATGAAATTCGCTTTCGCCATCGCGTATTCGTGATCACTCGATTTTATATCTTAACATCATAGGCGCATGGGTGGAAAACTTATCCCTGTTAACAAGGACGAAACTCGAAAGATATCAAGTATGAAAGCAGAAGAGGCAAATTTAAGGGAACAAACTCGCACTGAGGCATCGGGAATTATATTAGTTTAGTGGCCAAATGTTTACTAGAGCTTCAGCTATTTAGCTATCTCGCACTGAAAGCCTAGATGAACATCACCAAAGAGGTCGAAGGTCTCAGTTATTGAACGTTTCTTAAATCAAGAAATCAGTCATCACCCACAAGGGGCAGAAGGTCTCAATTGTCCAGCCCGCTGAAGCTGGCTCAAAAGAAGCAGCGTTAGCATCTCAAAGAGACGCAGTGACAAGGAAGGACAGGTGACAAGGAGGGACAGGTGACAAGGAGGGACAGGTGACAAGGAGGGACAGGTGAAACGCAACAGAAACAAAGACAGTCGAACAAGGGATCTCTTATACGGGACGTCGGCCGCCCGCACGAGAGAGACAGAGAAGGGAAATGTAAGGAATCCTACCTACATAATAACCTAATGTAAGGTATCCTGCCTACATAATAACTTAACCCCATAACTAAGACCTGCAGTCAGACACCGCGAGCTCAGCGGTGGCGCGCTCAGGAACAATCCTTCAAGGATCGCGAAATCCCAAAGAACTTCTGACGAGCGCAGACACGCGTCAGAAGTCCCCACTGAAAGGGGAATTATTGACACTAGAAATTACCTGTACATTGATAGTATCCAAGAATAGGACCTTGACCGAGTATCTGTTCAACAGTCTGTGCGTCAACAGCATCACTACTAATGCCCTAACATGCTCTGTTCAACAGTCTGTGCATCAACAGCATCGCTGCTAATGTCCAAACATGATCTGTCCAACAGTCTGCTCAACATGGCCAATGTCTTGGCTGGCCGCGGAATGACTATCCAATTATTGCCTTGGTTTTACAAATGCCTTATCAACAATAAGATACAAGTAATAATTACAAACAGTAATATTCAGCTAGTACTGAAATACTACCAGATTCAAATACTAAAATGATACCAGTATTAGTGTGATAACAATTTCTAAAATGATACAAGTATCAAAATAATACAAGTACCAAAATGATACTCAAGTCTCAAGCGCTCTCGTTTGTACGCAACACGCAACAATTGATGCGTTAGTCTACGTCCTCATGAGGGACGCGAGGGGAGGAGGGGGCTGAGGGGCGGGCCGGGAGAGGCTGTCTCAACCCCAAGCCAATCCCCAACACCCCGCAGTTCCTGCAAGAGGAAATAAAAAACCAATGCGACATGACAAGAGAAAAAGTAAGAATTCGAGAAAAAAAGCTGCGCATTTTCGATCCCCATAAGTTTACACGTTTTCCATCCACAATTTTTATAATACCAATATTGCCCACCCCATAGCTTTCCTAAGAATGAATGCATAAGCTAGTCTCCGAAAATCATTTCACTGCTCCAACCATGAATTTACGAGAATTGATTTTTTCTGATAACTTTAAAAACAAGCTGTATGCTTAGGCCGGGTTTACACCATACTGCCAGGCATATACCAGTCATGGTCTAGTTCAATATACTTTGATGAATTTCTATAGAAGCATTCACAAGAGCCGTTCAAGGCACCAGCCAAGCCCGTGGTGTGAATGCTGCTATGGAAATGCAGTAAAGAATATCGGACTGTACCGTGAATAACATATGCTTGACGCGTGCCCAGCAGTATGGTGTGAACTCGGTCTTAATGTGAAGATGATGAAAGATAATCTGATACCTGGGGAGCTCATTTGGGTGTAGTTCTTCTCCTTTGCCTCGCCTAGTAGGAGCTGTGGCAGACGACGCCCGTCTTGTGTCCAGTACTCCCAGTCTGGCGTCCAGCATCGCTGGCGAGGCTGTCTCCACAGCAATATGAGGCGAGGCTTCTCTTTCCACCATGATGATGTTGGAGAATACATCAGCACTCCTCACCCTTGTCATGGGGCTGGTAAAGCTAACAGATAATGAGTTGGATGAAGTTTGACCAGGCACGGAAGGAAGCGAACGTTGTTGTCGTGCAGCATCTCTAGGACTTGGATCAACCGAGAGTGAAGTTTCAGCAATGTCATCTGCATCATCAGACGAATGTTGCGGAAGACAGCGGATACCACATGAACTCGGATGCCTGGACTGGTGAAAGGAAGTAGCTTCCCGCCATCGTTTCCTTACTGTTGGTCTCGAGCTCACAGTTAATGCAGTCTGGTCCTCAAAACTACGAACGTCAACCACTGAGGAAGTCTCCGGGTTTGACAACGTGTCACGAGATTCACTCAAAATATCTTGCTGAGCTGAAGGTTCGGTCGGCAAATGCAACAAATTACGAGGATGAATATCTGACTGGCGATGGTCATCTTCTAACCGATGAGGACCTCGAACGTCACGAAGTCGCGAACCTAGCGAGCTGGTTGCTGAGTGGGACTCGAATCTCACGTCAGCAAGAGTGGCGCCACTTAAACTTTCTGTCGAGTCACCGACAGAGAGAAAGCACTCACGCGACTGTGTTGTCAATAATGTCCGGGTTTTAGGGAAGGTAGGGCCCGTGATGCCAAATGTATGTGGGACGAGAGCAAGAGCTTCGTCAAGTTTCGTCACGAGGGCAGCGGCGTCTAAAATATCGAATGTCATGGGCGGCATGATGAGCAGAACGTTCTTGTGGATGCCTTCACGAGCGATGACCGTCCCCACGCGGCGTAATCTATGAGCATGAGAAAACATACAACACACTTCATTATTATGTTGGTCTCGAATGAAGTTCAGTAACAATATATTTTATCTCAATACAACAGGCTTCGTTTGCAAAGGTAACCGGAACACATAGAGACGACTAGGGAACACGACGCAAGTAACAGGGCACGTAACAGTAACATTGTAATGAAAACGCCTCTTCCAGTGGTTTCATTAAATAATCATAAGCAAATAATTGCTGGTAAATAATACAGGATCCAATAATCTTCTATAATTATTGATTAATAGAAACAATATTGAATATAACACATCACATATTGATCATCAAGACTTGAAAAGACTTTAAGGTAAAAAACTCAGCTTTTCAATGAAGTGATGGTGAATTTACTTAGCTACTTTTTTTTGCCTTTAAAAATTATGGGAAACCTCTTGTTACCGAAATCATCGGCATATAATTGTAAGTGAGACACAAAATACTATGGTTAAAGGAAGCTTTGGCAACTTCTCTCACTTGTGTACAAGAAAATCAGCAATTTGGGCGGAAGGAACCCGTTGCTCTGCGTTCCAGACAACGTCGACAGCTTGCAGCAAACCTTGTCCACGCACATCACCTGTAACATTAATCAATGAAACTTGATCATAATAAAGTGCGCGCATAATATGAGAGAGATCACCAGAGATCACATTTCTAACGGTCTATGCATTAACCAATAGACTCTACTACGCACTTACGAACGGTTCAGTTCAGTGTACCGCACTTAACAGCTGCCAAGGTTTATCATGTTAGAAAAAAACCTCGTGCATTAATGCTGCAAGGCTTTCAATGACAGCAGGAGAGTTTGCGAAGGCTGTCCATAACGACAATATAATCGAGGACTAATATCCCAATCTCAACGAAGTACTGATGACGGAAAATTAACAATTTAGTAACCTGTCTATACATTAGAGAGGGGGATCGTCACTGGTGCCCAATGAGCCATGAGCCCATGACGTCCTCGAAATTACTTTTCCCCCACACAGTAGTAGAGTTTTAGTCTTGTTGCTTACGCTGCTATCCTCCAGCTGTCTACAGCCACACCCAATTTTCTACTTTCGAGATAACAAAATAAAAAACTCGGCAACCTACTACCACCCATGAGAATATTTTGCACACTTTTTATAAAAATAAATTAGTTAATTGTAACATAGAATCCTTACATTCGGGTTTAAATTTTTGTTTCAAACTGAACCGGCAGGTACAGCCAGACCAGCGCGTGAATCGTACAGCACGTGCTGTGTTAGCGCCATGCTTAACTGCATTCTAGAGCGCCGTCATCAATGCTATTCGTACAGTCTTTCGGGACCAAGTAATCCCGTCAGTCACGAAAGGGGTAGAACCGGGATGATGATTGGCGAGCCTAATTTGAATCTTGAATGATGATTGACGCACCTAATTTGAATTTTTGATGATGATTGGCAGGCTCAATTTAAAATTTGGATGATTGGCAGACGTAATTTCCGATGATGATGGCGATCTCAATTTTAAATTTGAATGATTGACGGACCTAATTTGAACACCTGGATGATGATTGGCGGAACGTAATCCTCACCAACGTAAGGATGTTTGTCCTGCAGCTTCCTGAGCAGCAACTGCAGGGAGCGGCCGGTGCTGGCGGCGTTCTGCATGAGGCGTTCGTCGACCAACGTACGCAGCACTGCAGCACCCACAGCGTTCTGCACGGCGCTGCACTGGTGCTGCACAATAGAAAATAGTTAATGGTCAATCCGTTACATAGTAATAACAAAAGTAAAACACATTTATAACATTAATGAGTTTGAATACAATACGCAGCACAAGTGCAATGAAATAAGTGATAAATATAATATAAAGTCATTTGCTGTCAGGTGCCTCATAAAATTCAAGGGTGAAAAATGTAATGAGATTTATAAACGACAAAACAAAAGTTAATGTCGACTTCGGCAATTATGATCATTATTCTAAAAATTTATGTTAGAAGCACAACCAAATACAGTAATGCCGGATCAACCATTGACCATTGGCAGCGAGGAGAGGTGCTGTGCTTCAAGTCAAAAATGGAATTATTTCCAATTCGTTTTCTTGTTAATGGATGACTGAACTGCTGGTGCGGACTCGAAGACGATATTCCAATGAATAAATGCGTGAAAATAATTATGCTATAAATTTCATCTGTATCGATGAAAGGATTATCAAACGAAAATAACTTGGATTTGCACATTCAAGTTTTAAGTTTCCATTAGCAGTTCAACTTCTCGTAGAGAATTAACATCCTTCATTCATAAAAGACGTCATTAAAATACACAAGAAAATTGATCAGAGTCACTCTTCATCCCAGTAGTTCCTGATACTTTTCATAAATCAGTATAGTACTCACTCAATACTTAGCATCAATAAGAAATCTTCATTATAAGTCCTTCGTATTGCAGAAATCGTAAAGTGGGAGTAAATATCAATCCGGTGAAGAACTCACATTCGGTCGAGCCACTGCGGAGACTTCAAAAATTTCCTCGGTCGCAACGCAAGCTCGTTCCTTCTCGAGGACCAGTGGTAACAGGCACTGTGGATAGCGTAACGCTTCTTCCAGGCCGCGGTAACCGCAAGGGCGTTTTTAGACGGCCGCCTTTACGGTGCAGCAGTAACTTGAATTCCATTTTTTCAGTTTATCTAATGCATGCAAAATTCGCTAGTGCAGCAACGCAGTCTCTCTAAAATTAGCGTTGAATTGTCCCGTATATGACGACCATTTAATATGCAGAAATTTCCTGTCCGTTTTAGCAGCAGCACGACGATTGCGGGAGAAATGGTCTTCTCGTTTAGGTAACAGTCCGAAAATTGGATACGAAATTTTTCGCCCATTTCAAAATATCCCGACGACTGGTGACGAAATTGTACTCCCGTTAGGCAATAATAAGACGATTGGAGACGTGAGAATTAACGAGCAGCTGTTAAGAGAACGCAAAGACTCACAGCCGAGCGCAGAGGGCCGAGCATGGCGGCGATCTGCGAGGACGTAGCGGCTACCGCCATCGGCCAGCCGTTGCCTGCTCACAAAAATATTATAAGTGATGACCAGATAACACTCCAGCTGATTAAGCCTCGTGTGGTACACGCATTTCTCTTTCCGATTTAATCGTTTGAACATTTGTTGTTTGTTGATAATAACATTTGATGAATACCCGAAAATTTGAACCATCGGCCGAATGTGCAAAAATCCCAACCAAATGACGAAAAACTTGACTATCAGCAGTACTCCTACCCAGGCCCTTGGCGATAACAACGATGTCCGGGGAGACTCCCTGGCACTCAAACCCCCACATGGCGTCGCCTAGGCGCCCTAAGCCGCTCTGAACCTCGTCTGATATGCACAAGCCTCCGAACTCTCTGACCAAACTGAAATAGAATTAATGAAAGTTAGTATTCCTGAACCTCTTCTGATGTACACTGTCCTCACAAATCTCTGACCAAAGTGAAATATAATTAATGGAAGTTAGCTGCCCTGAACCACGTCTGATATGCACAGGCCTCCGAACTCTCGGACCGAACTGATATTAATTACTTTAAGTTATCTGTCTTTCGCTAGATTCTAGCACAGCCAACACAGTTCTTGAACTCAGTACTCAATAACAGATCATTCGCAAGAACATGCAGAGACAACCGCTGATCTTTAAAAAACCTTTCATAGTGTTGAATTGAAATCAACCTACAAGGTACATCAGTATAATGATGACCGAACCTGTAGAGGCCTTGCAGCCACGATGCTGGAGGATGCAGGCCGCCTTGTATCGTGAGGAGAGGCTCCACCAGCAGGCACGCAACCTACAAAGCCAACACTCAATTAAATGTTAATTAATCATAATAATAATAATTATATTTACGCATTTATATACAATAATTACCGCTGTAATCTTATGACACAAAGAAGATTGACAAGTATGAACATTCGGCAGTAACGAACAAATTACAGCCGCTGTAAATTACCATGATGGTGGTCATTGTCACGACATTACCATAGGCGCACGTTATTACTGCATCTATTAACAAACTTAAAATAATGAAATGAATAATGAAGTAGATCAGTGAATTAAAAATTATTTAGTATTTAAAAACTCTCTTGTTTGCCACTATGGGCCGACCTGGCCGCCATCACCGAGGGACTGCTCCAAGATGCGCCGGCTGTCCGCCAGGTATCGGAGGACGATGGACTCAACGGCGTCGGAAGGACGGGAAGACGCGGCCGCATCGCCGAGGCCTGATGCTCGGTACGTGTCTGCTACAGGCACCACGTGCACCGTGTACGAGCTTCCTGCCGTGTGATGAGTTACGTTAGAATGTTAGCTGAAAAGAGGATAGTTTAGAGCGCGAACATGATATGCTTTCTAAGGTCTTTGACAAACATATATCAGGGAGTGATTCAAACATATTGTTCGTGTAGAAACATTAGCTACTATTAAATGGATATAAATTTGAGTTTAAATTAAAATAAAGCCCTAATTTTCTGTTCAAAGGCTAAAAAATAATAAATCTTTATATTACGTCGATGCATCCAAAACACAAAATACATACAGAAAAAAAAAAACATTTCTTTAGAGCTCACTAATTTTTTAATTATTCCTGAAAGTTACATATTGAAATGAACTTTTTGATATTGCTTACTTCTAAATGACCTTGTTGGCTTGATTCGAGAAGATAGTCTGACAACGGAGTCCGTGCAGCCGTGGAAGGAACCTTCCACCACGACCACGTCGCCTCTCGCTCTCCTACGTCTGGCAGCCGTCGACGCGCGTACGTCTGGCAGCTGTTCATGACTGGGTGTCCGATGACTCCGATCATCGGCACCGAAGTCGTAATTCTGACCTACCGCAGCACAGAACTCCGATGGTTTCTCAGGAAAGTCACAGGTGAACTTTTGTGCATGATTATCTTCGTGCGATCGTCGCCCTTTTAACGTGGCAATTTGGTGACTACAGGAACTGAGTTCTTTTGAGTCAGTGGTGAGTGGGCAGAAACTGAGACTAGCGGAAGGTGTGAAGTGTGATGTCAAAGATTTTGAAATTGATGACCCTGATGCACTTCTTTCTTCTGATTCTGTACAATGAGTAAAAATTCTAGAAGTCAAATTACCACTACGCTTGGATGAGCTCAAGGCAGTTTCCTCTTCAACATTTTTTCCGATATCGGCATCAACGGTAGCGCTAGATGGGCCTGCATTTAGGAGGCCATCTGAAACTTCTGCATGACTTTTCTTTAATTTTTTAAATGAATTAGACGGACATCCTAATTTTGAAGAATTTCTGCCACACCAAAGCCTGGCCAGCCGAATGGAGAGATCAACTGCTGCAGTCCTGCCCGAAAAAAATTAGATAATTAAAACTCACTTGGATGCAGATAATGATTTTATTTATTGAATCATAACGACTGACACAATTCAAAATATGCAAACAATGCGCACCGCATTCGTAGTATGGTAGAGAATGTTCGTAACTTAATGAAACGAAATGCAACTACTAAAATATTTTTGAGTCATTTATGTTCATAACGAAGTTTTCGCCAACGTTGCGCGCTTGCCTGCACACGTAAGCCAAATTTACAAGGTTTCTACAGAGCATAGTTTAAAACTAATTGTTTGGTCTCATTATGATTTATTACTACCACCGCGGTTAATAAATTAGCACAAAATGATTGAAGTCAATTTACTGATCTAGTCGGTCTGATATCCTGAATAGTGATGAGCGAGTTTATAATGAGTGCTATAGGGGTGGAATAGCCCGCAATTTATGCGAAGAATAAATGTCACAAACTGAACTATCACGATATACTCATGGACAAATTATTCTACTGCGCTGGGTTCCGAGTTAATTTCAAAAAAGTGGACTATAGACAAAAACCAAAGCTGAATTTCCGGATTCTGATTTCTGCTGTCAGAGAACTTCAAGGAAAATGAACGGGGCACGGTTAATAGTTGATTGTCAGAGAACTGCACGAGTGATGAACCTTCTCTAGTAAATGAGTGATATTAAAATAATTGCAGGGATTATTAAAGATATTCAGTGAATGGGTGCAGGCGACCAGACCCTGAGTCGCAGAAGAGGAAGGAGTCGAGGTGTGGTGGCAAGGTGCGACGCAGCAGCGTCTCCAAGTCGCAGTTAGCACCCGCATGCCCGGAGTCAGGCAGCAGATCCTCCAACCTCTGGCAGCTGGCGGCAACCACACGGGTGTTGCAGTGGCCAACTTCAGGAGAGGACAGTTACTGCAGTACAATACCATAGAGCTCGTAATAAAGAAATTATGTCAACATTAACACTTATTGTTTTGAATTTAGAAGAGAGGGAATTTTGAAGAGAGGGAATTGTTTGGAGCTTTAGTGCTACCGACAACGTGAAAGATGGGAAAGATTTTACAGCCATTTTGAAAATATTTGGCATGATCTTTCAGATATTTTATTCTTTTTAAATTTCAAAGAGAAGAATTGTGACACTACATAAGATTAAAGTTTATGTTATGTCTCGTTTTATAGCCATTTAATTAGGCTGGGAGCCAGAGAAAGAAACGAAGTATAGATCATTAGATGTCCCTTCATTGTGCATAGTCGCACGATGTAAAATCGCCTACACGCAGAAATCAAGTTTGGCGGCAAACATGTTTTGGCATTGCTCCTCATAAGGAATTCTGAAATTCAATTAATGTTGAAAGTCAAGATTCAATAAAATAAAACAAGGTTAGTTTCTTCTATTTGCAATCTATTAACAATTCAATATTTAAGGCTGCATTACGACGCACATGTAGCGTTTTTATTATAATATGACAAGGAGAAAAACCTTGAGCAGTAGAATTGATGCAGTCGATGTACTGCGCACCGGAATCGTCGTACAAATACTGGCCCCGCCCACTCTGCATCGTGCCTCCGCCACCATGCCTGGTCCACATGGTCACCTCACACGTCGACAAATATCAACAAACCTATCACTAGTTACACCCATACAACCACGCATCTGAATCAATCGCTAATAATACTGCACAGCCTGAAGTCCACATTCTGAAAAAGTGATCAAAAAGTTCAGTATTTTTAGCTATGGTTCAGCTATGCCATTCATATTTTAATCCGCATCCACCTAACCAGGCTAACCCGACCCAGTCAATTGCATCACTCAGTAATATCTGTATTGTATGTCAAAGTTTTCTCCTTCCTAATTAATTTAAAAATTTCAACGCCAAGATGTGTATTCTTTTGAAGCTTACCTTGATATCATAGTTATCGCATCGTTGTATTTTATCAGCACATCTAAAGAGCTGATATCTCTATCATTTCCTTGCCAGCGTAGTACCAATGTTGGCATTACATAATATGAGTTGCATTTCACTTCCCTTATTACGCTATTATTATTTACAATGTTACATTTTATTAAAGTCAGATTCATTAATTATTCTACTATAAACGTGGAAATCATACGTAGATAATATAGATAATATACTGATAATTTTCGCTTAGCTACCATTTTAAATGCTCTGGCGTACCGCCGTCTTGGAGCACCCGACTTGCTCATTCATTCAGAGGTAGAGTACAAGCTTCATACGCATCAGCGCCACGCGTCGGGGCAAAAACTTGGTCGCTAAACCTGCACCAGGAGCCTTGCCTAACCTTCATCAGCAGACGCGCTTATCCGGCATCAGGAGCCTCGCTTAACCGGCATCAGGAGCCTCGCTTAACCGGCATCAGGAGCCTCGCTTAACCGGCAACATGAGCCTCGCTTAACCGGCATCAGGAGCCTCGCTTAACCGACATCAGGAGCCTCGCTTAACCGGCATCAAGAGCCTCGCTTAACTGGCAACAGAAGCCTCGCTTAACCGGCAACATGAGTCTCGCTTAACCGGCATCAGGAGCCTCGCTTAACCGGCATCAGGAATTTTAGAACTGCACGAGACCAGACACGCTACAAAATCTGTAAGCTGAAGAGAGCAAATAGAATTCGTGACGATAAATTAATTCATAACGGGGGTGTTTAATTAATTGCAATTAAAATATTCATTCTTGCAAGCCAGTATGGCAGAAGAAAAAAGAGTGAAGGTAATAGTAAGAATTTTTGCGTGGATTAAATACTCATAGCATTGAGTGAGCTTCGTTATTTAATACTCAAAGAGATAAATAGTAGTGTCACATTAATCCGAGCAGGCGATACCCTTCGGGACCGTGGGTCTCAAGCGAGCGGCCACTGTTGCCATACTTAAAAGAGTTAGATGAACAATGTTTAAGATGTCTATTCTACAAGTAAAATTCTACGTTCTTTCAATCTTTGACAGAAACGTTCCTCTCCCCACACGATAGCATGCTCAGATAATACAGAAATAAACAAGATATACTTCAGAAATCCCATTATAGCATCAGGATAAGGAGGATAAGTTCCACAAAACCCGTCACAAGCAAAATATGTATTAGGCCTCTTCTTAGCCTTTAATTAGTGTGTATGTCAAATTATCGTAGATAAATTACAGTGAATGTAAAACAAAAGCTTTTGCTTAGCTTTATATGTCTTGTTCTTTACCAAATCAAGTGCGCGAGTTGCAGCAAACGTATTCAAGAAGAGAGGAGCAAACGCATGGTAGAACTACGTATATAAGGTTGACCCACGAGAAGTTCCACCTTTCAGTTCAGCTTTCTTGTTACGTCACGTAGATCGAGAAACGTAAAAAAAACAGTCATTCCCATGACGGATTGGTTGACTGGTTTGATTGCATTTCGGTGATTAGTTAATGCCCGTGACGTCACTGAGATCAGTGACGTCACAGGCGAACAACAAACGACATCCGCGAAAATGAGCTTCTCGTGGGTCAACCTTATACATACAAGTTCAACCATGAGCAAACGGTCCATGAAGAGCAGCGGACAACATCACTGTGACATCGCTCCTTGAACACGCATTAGTTTCTCAGTACAGAGCAATCTAATTCATTCAATAACCAAATAACTTGTTCAAAAAGTAGGAACAACAATGAAACCATGGACGAGTACATATTCTCTGACATTGAATGGCCACAGCAAACTATCGTACTACTTTCGAAAATTGCGTAATACAGCCTAACACAGTAAATGCAACCGCCATGAGCAATAATGTGCGACGAGAAGTATAATATTAAAAAAAATTGAATCCCAAGCTAGCTTGCACAATAAGTAGGCGAGTGCATACTTTGCTAAATGAACGTAGTAGGGAATACCTTAATCTCTTACTGTGAATATGAGTTGGTCAAAATGCTTATAAGCAATTAGTATTTCAGTAGAATTAAGCCACTCTATGCTAACTAGACGATCCGTTTTCAGCACCATACAGAGAAGAAATATTGTAAGGACACATCCATGATGAATGTTATAGGATATAAATAGGTGACGCTATCTATTTTTCTATGCCTTACATATGAGATTTGGTACGCAACACTGAGATTGATGCGTAGTTTGACACGATTCTCGTGATTTGATCCAACACAAACTTGCTTTAAAATACTCAATAAATTGGTGTATAAGGTGGCGTGTGTAGCTCCAAGCAGTAAATCAGGATACAAATGAACGCCGGAAGCTCCTCATTGATTCAAATGGCCACATAGAAGTACGATAAGCTAAAGACCGAAGCAGTATTAGGCCAGGTAGCATTGCTTATCAATTCAGTATTAGACGAACCTTCGTTTTTATTAATTCATAATTAGATGAAACTTTAGTCGTGAACGATTGCGAACGGTTACGTAAGCTGTTGAAGATTGTCGTGTTTGTACGTGACACCTTACGTAATGAAAGAGTCAAGCAGTATGCAAATGAATCTCACTTAATTTAATTCCTTCGAAGTATATCATGGTATGGTTGGGACAGTACAATGAAAATCAATGCTTGTATATCTGTTGATTGATTTTCTTGCAACAATTATCTGTAGGGTTAAATTTAACCTCCCACTCTGCAGACGATCAATATCATAGCGTTATTCCAGCGCATTTGCTGCAGAAATATGAAATTACATTTAATGCTGTACAACGCTGTGGTGTTCGCAGAAAAAATTCAGAATCTTGTGACTTTGTCAGGAAAGATCGTTTCCTCATATCAAAAATGAGCAATAAATTCAAATTATAAAATAAGCAATTAAACAATGCAAAAGTTCAGGTATTTGAAGAATTATTTCTTACAATGAAACAAACGGCAGATGTTAAAGATTGATAGGGTTATTATAACTTCACAAGAATATTTCAAGAAAAAGGAAGACGTTAATTCGTGGTCCTAAAAAGTCATTACGTCATCCAAGGATTACGTCATCAAGAAGACGACAAAAGATTTTATAATCTTCATGACATAAATACCTTCATGATCATTAAATGTTTTTTATAATCTGTTCGCATTTTACCTAATAATAACGATCTCATGATAGGCTTGCTGCTTAGTCTGTAAATCGAACGATTTCTTCATAAAACGTTCATGCTGAGCATATATAAGGCAAACAGAAGTCGTATTTTAGTCAGTTGATGGCGAAAAATATCTCGAAATATGAAGCTAATAGTTTCAAATATATCAACAATATAATAAAAGTTACGTACTACTTATCACTTAATACAGAAAATTTTGAAACCGTTTTTTGTAAAGTCGAGTTCAGGTACAACTATCAAGAGGAAGAGTCTGAAGCGGCTTCCAGTTATTCCTTGCAACTTGCGCTGGTCTACACAACCTTCAAATCAGTAATGTTATTTGTGAATTAAAAATAAGTAAAAAATAAGAGAGAATGTATTGGCATGACGAGGAACGCCGGAGACGAATTCGTGTTAACCATGAAAAAAAAACAAGGAATAAGCAACCCAGACAATTTAACGAACATAAAGTCAATTAATCAAACTATTAAGAATAAACTTCGAATAATATGGAAGTAAAAATACTAATTATCCAATAAATACTTCATTGCAACAGGTTTTGGAACATCATTCGCGGTGACAATAACAATACAGAGTATTCATAATGAATGCCAGATAACAGATAAGATTATAAGAAACTCTTTTAAGATCGGTAAAGAAAAATTCCTAAGACCGAATTTAAATATAGATACGATTTTTTTCGCCGTTATGTGAGTGCATCATTATCATCCTGTTTAATAGATGCTAAAAATAATGGTCATTATGTTACCGACATAGTGTAAGGTACGGTTACCTGCATTTAGAGGGGCGATTCACAATTATTGAAACCGGAACGAAGATTAATTATAAAAAATCATCTTGCTTCTGCAAGTCCAAGTCGTCGCACCGTCGTAGCTTGATGACTTACTTCAAGAGGCATTAGTCCAACACTTCAGGTTGGCAATTACCTTGAAAATAATGTTCTCAGTATTCTCTACATTATCATACAATAATAATGCCACATGTGCTAGCGACACCCGCCTGACTGACTGACAACAGTCAAAGCTAAAACCTGCAGCGTTCAGCCACGTGAGCCACAGCACGTCCACGAGAGATGAAGTGCATTTCCCTTATCAGCTTGAGCGAAGCTGTAATGTTTACTTGGAACGCAGGTCATATTTTACATGGCTTCATAATTCATTTGAATAGTTTTTGCAACAATTAGCTAATAATATTAGAATTTCAAGTATGATATGAATTTGTTTAATCTCAAACAAGAACAATTGGATTGAAATAATTTAACAGGCTCCTGATGTCAACATTAGAAGTTTATGGTTCATCATGGCATTGACATCTAATGATTACGGTACGGTACTCCCTTTCCGGCTTATTAGAGATTATCGAATTTTAAGGTTTAAAAAGATTTTGAAGGGTTTGAAAAGATTTTAGGGTTTATTTAATATTATCATTATAGACTAACGAATTGAATCATTCACCTCCTAAACGCAGGCCTAAAGAAGAAAGAAAAAATGAACAAGCAATGAAGATTCTGATTATTTATACCTATCAACTTGTTTTTTCCTATCAAATACGGTAGGCAAATTGGAATTACATTTTGATTTTGGCTCGAGCGTTACAAATCCTCACTGACTTCGCATGCACAGCAATACCATTCCTGGCATTCCATCAGTTTATTTCTATTAATAATTTCCACAGTGCTAATCTGTCACAACGAGAATGCAAAAAAGATCCAAAAATTCAAATAGTTTAATGGAGCAGTTGTTGTTTTGTTAAATGTTTATATGTACTTGCAGCCTCGGAGTGTGATATACTGTACAGAGGTGGGCAGTAGCGCGCTACGTCATGAGTACATGTAGCGGCCGCTATATATTTAAGTAGCGATACGAGGTTTTGCCGCTACAGCGCTACCTTTACATTTATAGATAAAGCCTTTAGCTTTTACTTAATAGTATTAAATATTAAATATTTAAAAACCAGCATGATACATACATAATATAAATTATAGAATAAAACTGTATGAAAGATTTCGGTGTAATGTTGTCAACCTCAGCCTGTTACTGGTGTCAACGACTCAACATGTTAGTTGTTACCTATTAATGTTATGCTGTTAAGTTGTTACCATATACAGAGCACCACTTCAACCCGAGCGCGGGTGATAATTAAAATGGCAAAAAACTAACTATATTAACACTGTTTCGATTCAAGCATTTTACAAAAACCTTTTATTTTGAGAACCACATGCACACCTGATCGGCATCGTTTACTCTGTTGTACTACCTTTCCATGGATTTGGGTCCTAGTTCCTCTTTTCAACCAACGGAACAAAATAATCCCTATACGCTTCTCATCTAAATCTTTGTTAGTTGTTACTGGGTTATAAATTTGATGAATTATTACTGAAGCCCTGTCACATAACACTAGTAGTGGTAGCTATTGGAGGAGCTCAAATACAGTAACACACACCCGAGTACAGTGCGTTGCCGACTGATAATCGCTGGCAGCCTGGCAAGCTCAAGCACTGCCTTCTGTTCTGTCAGCTGCCATGCGGCAGTGAGCCGCAAACGGGGCAAGCGGATTATCATCGGAAATTAATCTTAGACAAATAAGCTAACTAATTTAATTAAAGCAACTTACTAAAAAGTAAAGTGCATAGAATGTTTAATTGAATCTATCACCTACGGTCGAGGAGCAAGGATTGAGTTTGAACTCATGTTCATTCGCCAATTCCGTGCCATCAACTGTACAGATTTTTACTCAATATGCCGAACTAACCAATGCCTACAAGTTACAACTCAAATTTTCTGCTGGAGTTTTTCAAGTTTTTAAAGACTCATTGTGTTGTTAAACACTGAATGCAGGTTAATTTGGTTAATATTTTGAAAAAGCGCGGTTATTCGTTTCATATCTTAACTGATTGAGGGAATGTTGTGTCCTCAAATTGACAGTCACATTAAATTTTTCTTTTAATTGCGAAAAAAATCTTTGATTTAATATTCGCGTTTAGTTGACCGATCAGTTTTTATCAGATACGGTGAGATACCATTACATTAGCTGCTATAAATTTCCACCGTATTATGTAATCCGGAAGTACGACAACTTGGCATCGGTCCCTCACCATCACTGTGCAAAAATAAACTTCTTCAGTGTGTTTACTAGTTACTACCATGCCGTAGTCAATATTTTGTCCTAGGAATATATACATATATTAATATATATTTACATCGTGGTATTAACCAGTTTGATGGTGCGAGGACAAAGATATTTATTGCTGTATAAAAAAACATAAGCTTCAAAACTTGGAAATTTTAAGAGAATTATTATCGGGGAGACACAAATGCTAAGAAAATTTTAACACTCTAACAACAGACGACTTATTTCGGCACATCGCTAAGAAGTTTTAACTTCCCTCAATCCTCAAGCCGCAATAACTCTCATAGAATCTTTTATCGATTTGAGTTCACTAGAATAAAAGTTTTCATTGTTCAGCCAGTATTCACTATACAAGTCAGTGCTTATGCTATTACTAAGAAATGACCTTGCCTAATTGATAATATTATTAATAGTTAAAAGAATCTTGTCAAAACTACCAATTTCAGTTTGTTGCCAATTTTCGATCCATTCGACAACCATCCGCCTACGCCAGTGTCGGTTACACCAGCTCACCGTCTCCCTAGATGGGCGGTTGCCGACCAGTTCTCGTTTCCTTACTACCTAGAAGGTCTAAATCAAATCAGCCCATCATCAATGATTTATAACAGATATTTGAGTGAATTAAACATCAACGACCAGATCATCTACAGCCTGGGGCGTAAATATCGAGTAAAGAAGCATCGTAGGTATCTAACGGGGATCTGGGTGAAATAATAACCAGCAAAGTAGCCTCGGATTAAATTATTACCTATAGTACAAATTAACGAACATAGGGTGATTAAAAACGTCAACATGGATAACACGTATAATTTATTCAACATTTAAGATTCAAAGGATTCGAGTAATCAGACAGATTTTGTTATTTCTCTCCAATGAAAGTTTGTAATGCAAGTTTAAAACAATTTTAATTCAGGCATAAAAATTACATTAATCAATTCATCTAGGGATTTCACCCCCAGCATAACAATGATAATAATCTATCAATACATTTAATCTCAGCTTCGCGAAAGTTCCAGTCTTAGCTTTGAGAGTATTTTGATCAGAGTGCAACGGTGAACTAAACAAGTGAATCATACAATTTATTTAAAATTTTTTGTCATAAAAAATAAATTCATATCTATTGAGAGCAGCAAAAATAAGGGATCAAGTTATTGAGTGACGAATCGCGCATAAATGATACGCAAAAAATCATAAAGCATTAATTCGTTTAAATATGGAGCCATTGAGAGAGGAGTTAGCTAAAATTATCCTTAAAACGACTGAACGGATAAAAGTAGCGGAATCCTGAAACCACTTTCAATTCAAATTCAACTTTGCAGTGTAAAATTAAATTGTTTCAATTCAAAGATCAAAAAATTGGAGTTAAATAACGGCTCTTGATTAAATGCGGACAAATTAAAAGGTTGAACAGGCCTTTCCTGTATTAACATTATTTGGTTAGATATAGATATTATGGTGCAAGTGACGATACTGGATAAAAGGTTTCTGGAATCTCAGGAATCGTCTAAAACAGGCAACCCGGCTATCACCCTGTTTCTAGAATATAAATCATGCTGGCTGCTGAATAATCATCCCAAAATATTATTTAATGGATGTTATTCTCATAACCCACATGAACAACTATTATGAAAAGCAGGTAGGTGACGCGGGATGTATAAACTATGTTATTTTAATTAATAAATACCTCCAGAGTGGTCATCAGAAACAATATACCACGAAGGAGGTCACTTCAGTCGCCTTAGAGAGCGCTGTTCTTACAAGCTAATAATATCGTGCGAAGATTGAGTTACTGCCGACTGTTGGTCAGCCTGCACTACATCAACAAGAGGAGTAGTCTCGGCTAGAACAATGATGGAATATTTCCATCACCTATCAGCCTAGTAATCGAATTTGAATTACATTTTTCAAAACAACAAGAAATTGAAAGGTATTTACATGTAAAAACAAAAATTACTGCCTAGTTCGCTGAGACTTACTGAGCTCATAAGGCTAATTCTTAAGACATTTTCTTAATATTCACGCTGGATAAAGTAGTAGAAAAAGCGTTAACATATGAGTCTATTTCTCTTGTGGGTGCAATACAGATTTACCAACTAACCGACGCTGAGCATCAATTAACAGTGATTTATATACATGCGCTGCACTAGGTTAGTAGGCAGGAATATCACTCGACCCTACACACTTCAGTCGCACTCACTTCCAACGATCTATAGTTGACATGAACATGCAACGACACAATTTTGTTCAGCTCTTTGGATAAACAAGATTGAACCGAAAAAACTAACAGAAAGACAACCTCATCAACTAATTCCTATGATGGACCCAAGGAATGTAATCAAATAATGCTTCGTAAGAGCCTCATTTGGTACATCATATGCAAGATAAAAAGATATGCTAGGTAACAGGAATCGAAAATAATAAATGTTTTCTGAAACGGACAATAAAATTTATTATAACGTAAAGCAGCAAGAAAAAAGTTGTGGGAACATTCAGATTTCACAATCATTCGATGTCACCTGAAATCGACAAATAAACATCACCAAGTCGGCATGTCTCGATTAAAACAAATTTCTTCTATCAAAAACCATTTGTCGCCCACAAGTTAAGAATTACACCTAGATTATCAGATAAGATTATGCCACCTCAGTGAATCTTGATCTTGGTGGATCAGAAGATCTACTAAGAGGAAATAAAGCATAACAGAGAGTAGGCAAGATAGTTGGTGGACTGATGAGCACTAAAAACGAGTTCTAACATGAACCTGCCTTTAAAATATACTTTTAGAAACAGTGTCGATGGTAATAGACGAACAGATCTCGTGAAGCATCTTACTTCATTCCGATACTTTCCAGAGCGAAAATTTAACCTACCTCGAGCCAAGTTCAGCACTGCCGGAATCGCGAGTATTGGTGCCACAGGGTGAATAACTACATAATAACTGTGAGATTAAAGCCCGAATTATTTTACTATTAAACTGGGCTATTTGCGGCGCAAAATCGCGGCTATCAAGCATCGTGCACGCACAGCGCAGACATAAGCGGGTTCATAGCATCACACTAAAAATAACATATATCAGTAATACAAGTCATAGCCAATAATAGTTACTAGTAACACTTAGTAGTGACAGCAACATCAATGGAAGATTGGGACCTTAAGCATACATACATCCGCCGTAACCAGAATATCACTCATCCCGTCAGGTGGCCGCTAAGCAGGACTACTTGCGTGGGCAACCACAATATTAAAATGTTTAGCGAGCTTCGACTTAAGCGATACAAATATATACAGCAAACGCCAAATGTTACTCACAAGACCTACAGGATCAAAAAGATAAATGTTCATTCTACCCAAGCCTCAAAAATTTATAATTTCAAGTTTATACCGAGGACTTGATGTAATAACTCGTGTTCAACCTTCATTTTGTATAAGATAAATGAAAAAGACTATTTTACAAGTACCGACGTAGATTGAATGTTTTTTATCAACTAATGAATCGACGAATATCACTTTAGATTCAATTGTATGAGAATTTTACTCCTAGAAATATGTACAGGAAATTTAAGTCAAATTATTCGAAAGAAAAACGTCAGTGCAAGAAAATTGAACACTGTACCTTACTTCTGTTTTATCACAAATTTCGTTACCGCGTGTAGCCAGAAGAAGAAACTTAAACCAAATTAAATTCATTCGCATTTCAGTAGAAAGTAGAAATATTAAAATTTAATTTCTCAGTGGTCGATTATGGTACAAACTGTTAATTCAATTGTGATGTGCTATAACTAATGTCTCCAAAGGATCTAATACTCAGGGACTTCCCCTTTGAGAGCTGATAGTGTCTCGCAGGAGCAGAGGATTAGCCAACCGCATCATCAAAATAGGCTCGTGTTGCCTCGTGAAATAAGTTTCTAAACTCACAATGTTACAATGTTTAGGACTTCATCTCTCAGATCTTGTGGTGACAAGTTCAGATCATTAGCGGACACAGGCGATAAGTTATGCGTTGCTGCACCGTAAGCAAAAAAGACCAAAGGCATAATTGCGATGCTATATGAGAAAAATCCTGCACTAGGCGCAAGTAATACTTACTTCGAGTATTCGACATTTAAAATGTAAATTAGTATAAGAATATCCAAAGGAAAACCGCAAGGCTACTAGTTATGTTGCAAACTTTACACGCTTATCAACAGCTAAGTTTATCAGATCTTTTGAGTTACAAGCCAAAAACGGAATAGGTTCCAGACAAAGTAATTCTACTGGCATGAGGCATGCTTATAACATAATTTAACAGGTTCATTCACATTAATAATAAACAATAATTAGTAATATCTGTAAGATTCACTTGATACATAAGGAAATTTTTACAATAAAAAGTTCTAGAAGATATATATATATATACTAATACACATGCCTATATATTGGGGAAGGAATGCAAGCTTTCCTAATTGATGTAGGACTGGTAATTATTTGACTGTTTTTATCGCTTCGTAATCCGGTAAATGTTTATCGCTTTGTAATCTGGTAAAGAGGAATGAGAATAATTCAGAGACATTTCACTGTCTGCTATGATCAATCTTCCACGTGACATTTCAAGAAACCTATAGGAACTAGACGCTTAACTAGAGATAGAAATGATTTTCAGAATAATTTGACAAACAATTTTGAGTACCTATTAAAGTATATTTTCATTCCGTGTTTTTGCAAACAGACGAATAAGAAATGTAATAATGTGCGTCACCGTTATTCATTTAAAAATCAAACTAATCAAAAAGTAACTTGAAATATCTTTTAAAACTAATCTCACTGTAGCCAAAATACATTCTCAGACAAAACCAACAGTGTGGCCTTTACTCGCACTTGCAATAATGAGCGGGCGCACGATATTGCTGTGCCTAAGAGAATAGTACCTGCTGTACCATTGCTGCGTAGCACTGTATTGCTGTGCTTGCGTACAGAGAATTGATAGCTATAATTTGTATGTGATATTAGACGAGCTGTGGAGGGCTGGACCACGAAGGGAAGAAGAAGCAAGCCACGGAATTACACCGCCATCATTTGGCCACAGTGTGACGACCTGCGAATGCCGTGCACAGACGCTCAGCGTCGCCCCCAGACAGAGGGGATGATAGGGACCCCGTCTTGTGGGAGGCCGATGGAAGTGGGGAGTGGGCAGAGGTTGATGTGGAGGGAGGAGACCGTGAGGAGGAGGAGGGCGTTGAGAGGCAAGATGATGAGGAGGGGGAAGACTTGCTTGTAGTGCTGTTGCTGCGAGCCTTGGCGGCCCTGCAAAAGATTACCTATATTAGGACTAAATTAAATTTAAGATTAAATCGCCTCAAAAGTAGGAGTTTGATCAAAATTGCACTATGAATACAGGTTCCGGAATAATGTTATAATTTACCTACAGGTCGACAATCCCCTTCAGTCAACAATTACGTTTATAAGCAAAGTTGGTGTCTGTATGAGCAAGAAACATTTTATTTTGTAGGAAATAAAGGAAATATTTTGTTGGAAATAATATTATTAATGATGCACAACTTAATGAATTTCATAAATATTTTTGGTGACGAAATTGCAAATCATTTATAAATTGTGTTCTTCATTGCCCCATCCGAGCAGGCGAGCACTGAATGCATCGTTGTTGTCCGAAAATATTATTCATCCCTCTGGACTAGCATTTGATCCTATTTTATGCCCCTGCTTCACGAATCTTTCTTGAATTATTAGACATTATTTATAATACAGCAAGTTTAGAGAACGCTTTTCACCTTTCCACTATGCTATGCACAAAAACATTCAAGCACGTATTTATGGTACAGGACATTCGGAGAAGAAAAAATTCTCACAAGTGGTTAGAGAGATCCTCAATATCCACGAGTCTGGAGTCCTGTTCCATGTGCAGGTCGTCTCGGCTCAGCAGGTGCTGCACCAACTCCTCGTTCAGGCCTGCAATATTATGATCATTGACATTAATTGTTCAACACGATATATTCTTCTCATATGCAGTTGGAAGGATTGCTATTTCTAGGGATTAAAATGTCAGTAGCTAAAAGGTATGGTATGTTGTTTCTTAGTGTGCATAAGATTGCTCATTTGACCACATTAGGAAACTGTCTTAAATAGTTATCTACCGTGAGCTTCTGCCTAGCTGTTCCTATATTCCTTCATGATCCACCTCAGACAATTATATTATCCTTCTGTTTCCTTCTATCACTTCCCGACTCCTCTTTCATGAGGATTTAACTCGTACATACGCTATACTTCAGATGGTACCTTTACCTTCTATCTGAGTATGTAAATGATTCACTATCACTTGTAACTGAGCCACGTTCATGTCAGTTAAAAGTTGCCGACTGAGGCGACGCTTGTTATCAGGGAAGTTCATGCCAATCTGAAAAAGTAAAACAAAATAAAACGTGAATCAATGCAATCATTTGTTGAAGAAAATAAACTCAACATATAGTTTTGATAAAAATCATCGAAACTATTTACCACTTATAGCAACGTTGACAAGTAGCGAGTGTTTTTTGGCCCCCATTTTTCGAAAACTAATATTTCAAAAACGGAGGTCAAAGATCACCCACTCCCTTCTCAAATTGCCACTACCAGGATGGGCGATACATACGTAGTACCTTATAACAATAATAAATTAAAGAGAAATTGAACTTTTCAATTGTTAGATGATAAACACTTGATTTATAATAGGCTGGAACGAAACAATAGATCGGACATTTCATGTACTTCAGACATTTAAAGCAGCAAGTTCTGAGTATTATGTACTTGGAGAAAAAGTCAAACCTGTACAACATTCAACAAACATTGCTCAACTACTACTTGGAGGAAATGTCAGATCACATCTATGAAGGAAAGCCCACAAAATAAAAACACCTCAAATACCGTCAAGTGAAAAGAAACCTTGCACCCATAACATGGAGCATAAGATATAGATGATTACCTTAGCAAAGCTCTGGCGTATGATAGATGTGACGGGGCTATAGCGCTTCTTCTGCCTGTCCACCTCCATCTGCATCCTGGCCATGTCCTTTGCCTGTCCCAGGGCCAAGCGTGCCTCCGCCTGCAGCTGAATCTGTCGCGTGGCGAAGTCCATGCATAACGAGCCTTTCCCAGCCTTATGGCTCTGTTAAATAATTATTGTCCTTAGTTACGCTTTTTAGAAGCTGCTAACTTTGTTTGTTCAAGGTTTCTGATTAATTAGGGTTAAGGGGGTGGAGAAGGTGGTAATTTGACTTTATTTTACAAAAATTGGTTTACCAGCAATTCTAGAGATGCTTTTGAGATGAAATGGAGTGAAAACGAACTTCAGATCTATGGTTCTCAGAAACTGTACAAACAACACAAAATTTAGAGGGATGATTAAATGGTAATGATAACCAGATAAGTGATAAGCATCATTGGAATCAGTAATTAATCAAAAGAGCATCTAACCTTAGGGTAATCAATATGGTGATCTTGAGCACTCTCTGTGTCAGAACATTGGCTCTCGCAATCACTGGCAGTCTCGTTCATGAAGCAGATCTGCAGGTTCATTCCTGCGAAAAAAAAAAAACAATCTGGTATGTGTATGAAGTGCTTCTAGAAACAATCAACATGATCATGAAGCCAAGTTTTTTCATCAGTGAATCAAGTTGTGATTTTGAAAATCAGTTGTGATAATTTACAATAATTTGCAATGGATAATATTCAAAAGTTGCTCCTCCTCCAAGAACTATTACATTTCATGACTCATGCATAACAAACCTGTTTGCAAACGTGTCTGAAGTGAGAGCTTCCGATGATCAGCTTGCTCCTCCATCTCTTCTTCAGCACCCATGGCAAGTCGTCGTCTGATCTCTTCTCGATCATTGCGGCGCTGAAAAAAAAGGAGATAGTTTAACAATGGCCACAGAGAGGTTGATAGGAGAAGACAATTTAAAAACTTAGCATATTATTCACAAATGTCATGAATTGACTCAGCACTGGTGATGATGCAAGAATACAGAATCAACTCTCTGGCTCTAAAACATGTCTATTGAAAAACTTGAAAACAGAGATTACAAAAGATTTAGTTTAGTTCATAAAGATTGGTATAGGTCTTCATGTGTCAAAACCCAATCTATTCATAAATTATGTGTGGTAAATGGACATAATATCTTAACATGAATAGCAGACAAATACTCCAAAATCAAACGTTAAAAGAAATTATTTGATACCCGAGCAGGATGGTTGTAGAATGTTTCTTGAGATCTTTCTTCTGCATCTTCAGACTGAATAACTCTCACAAATTTGTCAATTATGTTTTCTTCTTCCTCATCATCAAAGCTCTGGATCCCACAGTGGAGTTTGGGATCCAGAGATAAATTAGGCCACTTGAGCTGTTCAAATATTGATGGAAATGTGACCTCAGATTGATGGTCACAATCAGGACTAGGAATATTTTTTATGTATTTTGTCACTTTTTGGCTCCCATTTTTCAGAGAAGAGAGAATTCCACTAGATGCTTTATCAGCTTGAAATTTCAATGTTTCAAGGCTGATGGAAGAAGGCAGCTGAGGAAATTTTAGATAGAATGAACTACCTAGTGAGAGCCCTGAGTGAGTTGATGGAGCTTGTTCATGTTTCATACGACTAGGATAGACTGGAGGAATGCTAGAGCTCCACATTGTGCTGCAAACAAAAAATTTGTTCAGGATTTAAACTCCACTGTATTGTCTACTGGAGCTATCAAGATGAATAAAAAAATATAAATATATATACGTATATATATACAGTGGGGGGAAATAAATATTCGTACACTTGAAAAATCGTATTTTAATGTATGTAAGTACACAAATTTAACAGGAAAAGTGATTTAATGTAACCAAACGAACGATAAGCAATGAACTTCACAGAAACGAATTAAAATCACGCACCCCAAGAAAGACCACACTCCTAATGAAACGACATCGAGATGCCAGGCTGAAATTCGTCAAGGAGCATAAGGACAAAGACTATGCTTTTTAGGAAAAGGTTCTTTGGACGGACGAAACAAAAATTGAGCTTTTCGGTCGAAATTATCGTCACCATGTGTGGAGGAAAGACGGTGAGTTTGGTGTAAGTGAGTGAGTGAGTGAGTGAGTTTGGTGTGTTAAGTTTGGTGGTGGCAACATCATGATCTGGGGCTGTTTCTCCGCAAAAGGTGTTGGTAACATATCACTTATAGATGGTAGGATGAATGCTGCAAACTACCAGAGCATCCTGGAAAATAATTTGACGACTTCTGTTGAGAAACTATCAAACTAGAGCTACCTGGTGATTGGATTTTCCAGCAGAATAACGATCCTAAGCATACTGCAAGATCCACAAAGAAATGGTTCGCTGATAGAAATGTATACGTTATGGAATGGCCAAGCCAGTCGCCGGACTTAAATCCAATTGAAAATTTGTGGCGGTATTTGAAGATTCAAATTAAGAAAAGGTCCCCAACAAACATTGAAAATCTTAAGGTGGTGTGCCAAGAAGAATGGTATAAAATACCAATCAGCATCTGCAAATCATTGGTCGAGACGTATAGAAATAGACTGGTATCTGTTGAGCTGAATAAAGGGTATTCAACCAAGTATTAAATTAAAATAATGCGGATTTATTGTTTTGTACGAATACTTTTTTCACCCCGAAAAGTGAACATGTTGCATTGTTTTTTGTTGCATTGAGATTTAATTTCTTTTGATAGTATTTTTCAATACTATGCGTCTCTATACATAATTTAAATCACTTTTCCTGTTAAGTTTGTGTACTTACATACCTACATTAAAATACGATTTTTCAAGTGTACGAATATTTATTTCCCCCCACTGTATATATATATCTAGAACACTTAAAAAACATAAAAAGTTCAATAAAATCCATTCTGACTTTCTGAGAACATGCTAAATGTTCTATTTCCTGTTAAGGACACTCTAAGATAACTTCTAAATTTTTTTGTATGTGAAGGAAAGATTTGCAGTACCATAAATTTGCATCAATTATATTTCAACATTCATGCATTCACTCATTTAGAAATTTATTACAAGAAAAATTCACTTTTTTAATACTTTGATAGGAGAGGTTGGAAGATGGGCAGAGTATGTAAAATATTGAGTTTGGAGATGCCAGCCAGAAACTTCTTCTTAATTGGTATTGGATATCAGTGAAAATTGTTTGCACAGAATTGAACTTAGTTTGAGCTTTATTCACTTGAACTTATACCATCAAACGGGGTAATAAGGGATGGTTTTGAGCATTTTTTGTTTATGACTTCTTACCATGAAACATTTAATAAACAAGTCTGAGCTCATTTTAACACTTTGATTACAACAGGGCTGGAAAATAATTTTTTTCTGAAATTTCACGGCTCTAATATCATAAAGTTTCACTAGGTATGAAATCTCGCAGCTGTAATGTCATAAATTTTTATTTGATTGAAAAAAATCGTGGTTTGCACTTCGCAAATACCGTTGTTTCATAAAATTTCAAGTTAGCTTTAGTTCAGCTTCAGTTTATCAGTCTTACACATTTTCCTTATTCCGTCATTTTCCTGTCACTTTCACTGTATGAGATCCCAATAGTTATTAGAACCAGTATTTGCGTTTCATTTTCCTTTTGTATTGTATTACAGGAGTAACATATTGTAACATAACATAAAATAGTATTACAGGACACATTATTACACAACATAACACAGCACAGAAAATAACATAACAGAACAAAAAATAATGAAAGATTATGCTTTGTTGGTTTATATTAGGATTTGTAATAAGTATTGTGATGTATCATAATGTGTTATGTTATACTGTGCCATGATATACTGTCAACCGGGGCTACTCGGGACGATTTCCACCATTTTTCATTCATAACTTCTTACAATGAAACATTTCATAAACAAGTTTAGGCTCATTTCAAAGCTCTTTGCAGGGGCTATCACATGGCTTCTCCAAAAAAAATTCCATATGCTATTCGTAAGGTGCCAGAAGCAAAAAAAGAGTCCCGAGTAGCCCCGTTCATTGTTTGACGGGGCTACTTGGGACACTTGGAATAAAACTTCATTTTATAACATTTGAAGCAAGCAGAGTGTACTCATGCATTACTAACAGTTCTCTGAAGTCCTCCTCTTTCGTTGTCAATGATGTAGAGGTAGAATAAATGACATTTTCTGAGATTTTTACTTGTTTTTCCTTTATTGATATGACATTATTATATACATTAATTACCGTATTATTGATGCGATATTACCGTATTATTGATGCAATATTACCGTATCCATGAACATGCCATTGAGCATTTACAACAACCTTGTCCACTGCAAGCTTCATATCAGCAGCCTTATAGCATTTTTTCTGTATCTGTGAGCTTACAGGATGGCTTGTAATTTCACACCATTTTAATTGGGTTAAGTGAATTTACTATAAAAAAAGATTGTGAAAAACATACATGAAACAAAAAGGAATGTTTTAGTGACAACCATCATATGTTTTGGAGAAATAAATCATAGTTTAGGTCAATTACTTTTCATTCTATAATGCCTGGTGCACAATTCTATATATGACATTCTATGCACAATTTTGTGATGACTGATGATGCACTAATTTTTCAATAAGTGAATTTTTTTTCGCTGAGTGAGGTAAATGCAATCAATATTCTTTTGTTTTTTATCAACTTTTTTTCTTGAATGGAGCCTTTGCTGAGGTTCTACTGTAAATGCATTTTTGGGGGTGTCCTGAATAGCCCTGGGGAGTGTCCCAAATAGCCCCAGGGGGTGTTCTGAGTAGCCCCGCCATGCGGAAATGGCCGCCATTTTTTTTTTTGGATTGAGGTAGTATGTAAATTCTGCAAATAAAGTTTTCATGCTGACACTTGTCTGCCACTTTTTTTTAAGTGAAATTTTTCAATACGGCAAATAGTTTTTTTACTACAGACCAGTGTGGAATTCTGTATAGTTAATATATTCTCATGTTAATATATGAAAAGGTATCGAAAAATCAACCCTACCACCGCATTACACCACCTCACCTTCCACTGCAGTGAAATCATATAAACTGAGCTCATTGGAAACTGCCTGCCGCTCTTCCGAAATCGCGCGTGGTTTGAAATCCAATCCCGTGTTGCCAACGCCGAATCAAGTTAACTAGTCGTTTATCTGTAGGCTAGCGGACACATTTTTGCAATGAATACATTCTAAAATAAAAATAAAACACATCCAGAATCTTAAAAATCTCACGATTGGACAATGCCAACAAACTTTTCGATATCACACCAAAGTTTGAGATAAACTTCAACTTTTCCAAGGCGTACATTCACATGGTGTTTCCACGATCATAACTGACATGGCGGCGTCACAGGCATAGCTTTTGGTCATGTCAAGTTCGATTTCACAATAATTAGACTTGATCCACATTCCATACTGACATTTAAATGATGGAAATTTGGTTTAAATTATAAATACCAATTGATATGCGTCCAAACATACATTTCTTCAGGTTTCCTGCCTATTTTGTTGGTGCAGGCATAAAACTTCCAAGTGGTTAGGTACTTTATAGAAACTGAGCAAGTTAGCCTATGTATTTTATGCCTTTAAGAAGTTCATTTTTTGCCTCAAATAACAATGTTGGATAGAAAAAGTGGTCTTGGTGGATCGAAATAATATATGAACCTTCAAAATTAGAATTCCATCCTGCTACAGACCTTAGCAGAAGTAACCTTTCAAAATATAGTTTTTCACCATTTTTCAGGAATTTTTCAAAGCTAGTAAATATGGTAATTTTGAACTTCCTTTATACTACATAGATAGGAAAAATGTTGACGTTTATGCCACTATATTTAGTCTTACAATATTCCAATTAGTTTTGCTACTAAAAC